CACATCCATAGATGCCTGCTTTCCTGGTCTGAAGATGGCCCTCAGACTGACTGGCAGGAGACTGATCATCGCTCCAGTATCCAGCACTGTCTACAGAATTACTTTGTTTTTCAGAAGGTTAAAATATCCCTTAAGAGCTAATTAACATTTAATTTCTAAGCATTAGTGTAGTCTTCCATTTGTGAAGAGTCCACTGGAGTCTCTTAATTTTTTCTCCTGCAATTTTTTCATGCTTCTAGTTCTCATTACCTGCCTGCAAAGCCTGTACGTTCAGATTATTTATTCCTAGAGAAGCATGAATAAAGCAGGAACTGTTTGTTTGTTTGTTTCATGCACATATAAATGATGTTTAGTATTTTTGTATTCTGGTCTTGAAGGCTCTAGTAACATTTTGGGTATTTGAATTTGTTGTTTTGCATTGTTGCCTGCTTTGTCTTGAACTGTTGATGCGGTTTTTGGCTTTCTGTGGCTGTCTTTTTCAGTTTTAAGTAAAAAAAAAAATAAAAAAAATTGCTGTATCAGTGCACTCTTCCATTTTCATACCATTAATGTATTAAAAGATGAATAATTTACATTTCACTATGTTTAGTCATTTAGTCCTGCTACTGCCATCTTAGCCAATTGCACTCATGGAGAGTAAGGAAGGACATCATTACATCATCTTATAAACAACAAAGCTGTGCTATTCCATCCCCCTCTGCCCTTAAAGCTGTTGAACGGGAGTTTGAATTTGTGCTGCAAAATACAAATAATTGCAACCAAATTTGAAAACATTTTTTCTATGCATTAGATGATGCAGAAATAACATTGCCCTATGTTCTCCTTTACCAAGTAGATCTGTAGGATGTATGTATCAGTGGCTCTTGTGTAAAATACTTCGAATTCTGTTTTTATCCATTGGATTTTTTTTTCCTTATAGTGTATTCCCAACTCTGCAGTCTTTCTTCATGAAAAGAAATCATGGTCTTAATAGCCAAAATAAGCTTTTTTTTTTTTTTTTTGTCCTATGGAAAAGGGCGTGGGGGGGGAAGTAGCATATTTAGTTTAGTACTCCACAGAAACTTAATGAAAAGTTCTTGCAAAAGAGGGAAAAACTGTTCCAACATCTTTCTGGTAGTACTAATAGATAGATAGTGAACACACAGGGGTTTGGTAGTTTGTGTTTTTTTTTTAAATGATAGTGATTTTTTTCTCTATTATAAACACATAGGAATGTTTTGTGAGCTTTTTCCTAGTTGATAAATACATAAAAATAAGTTGTTTTGTTTCTCTTTCACTGTGTTGTATTTAAATTTGGATTTGGAATTGATCGTTGAATTTGCCAGATCAGAATTTCCCCCGGAACTGGCTCTGAAGCCATAAGAAGCATTTTGTAACTATCTTATTAGAAGTGTTGGCAGTGGTGTGTTACTTAAGTTTGCTTTTAATCAAGCAGGTGGCAGGCGACATGGGTATTATCGTACTTGTATTTATTTTTTATCTCATAAGCAGTAGCTTCTTTTCCTGAAGCCATTCCTGCATTCGTTTCCTGCTTCTGCTCCAGTTGCCATGCTGCGAGGCAGCTGCTGGTGATGGTTTTGCCAAGTTTTTAAATTCTTCAGGTTTCCCTTTTATCTTCATGCAGCCTTGAACAAAGGGAAGGAAGTGGACGATGCTGTGTAGCAATCTTCCTGTCCATTTCAGGGTCTTTCTCCTCCTTGTTAATTTGTCAATGCTAGCAATTCTCAAGCTCCATTGGGTATACTTATTTCCCTGCATGGTGTGTGTTTATTACAGTACTTAGACATCTGAGTTTTGGTTTTAGTTGTTTCATTTGTAGCTTTCTTAGAGTTCTTGGTGCATCAGGACGTTTTAAATCGCTTGTACAAGTGGTGTCAAAGATGGCCTTTGCAGATCCAGACCTAGTGAGGTGAGACCTTCCGATCGCAGGCACAGGTAGCGGTGACCTCCCTCTTCAAAACACTTTGCATCTGTCATGCAGCCAACAGCAGCCATCTCTTAACCTCTGCAGCAAAATACCTGTTCCTTTCTAAAGATTTTAATGGAAGGGTTTGGTGGGGAAGAAAGTTTCTCAACCCAAAGTGAAGTTGGCCAGATCAGCGTGTCTAGGTGGATCCGCCTTTGGCTGGTAGGAAGAGGTGTAAAGCAAGGAGTGCTCTTGCTTTTGGTTTCTGTTTCATTGGGTTAGAACGTGCTAGAAGACGGTTAAGTCACGTGAAATAACTGGCCCAAAAAGGAGTGTGCTCAAGTGTAAGTGCTTTCCTGACAGCACTCCTTCTCGGTTGGAGATCAGTGGATGGCACGCCTGGATTGCTCCAGCAGTTAGCTGGTACTGAAGGGGAAGTTCTGGTGTGCAGCTGTCGTGGCCAAGCCTTGCCTGCTGCTGGCAGCAGCGTTTGTAGGATGGGTTAGCTGGGTCCTCAGAGTGTGTTCAAAGACAAAGGGAAAATGTGCCTTGCTGAGAGTTGGTCAGAGTTCTGGGAAAGACTTGGATGCAGCTCGTTGTGTCTCTGCTTTGTATGGGACTACAGAAGCATCTTTTAATGAGGATTTACTTAAAAAGGGATGGGGGAATGTTCAGGATCCCTGGATGCCTAGCTGCCTAAGTGCATATGATTTGTAACTTCCTTGAAGATGCTGTATGGAAAAATGCTGTTATATTTGTTCATTAAGTTAAGTTCCCCTTAAATACCTGTAGCTGTCTAGTTAAAGAAATAAAATACCCCCAAGATTCCTCTCCAACAAATCGTTCAAGCTGCCAGTTGTGGTGGCAGCTTCTCTGTGCTCTGAGCAGTGACTGAATTGTAGAAGACAATTTCAAAAAATGTTGTAGTGTGAGCATTCTCTTCAGCTCCAGCAGGTACAGGGTTTCATCAGAAAATGGGAGGCCTATCTGCAAATTCTGTCCATGACGGTAACGTTAGAGGCACCAGCAAGGATTATGTTAGGTTTGTACAAATCCAGAGATGACACCAAAAGGTGGGAGAGGAATCAAGTCACAAAAAGCAAGATAATGCACTAAAACATTTACAGATGGCAGTGCTTTCAGTGGATTAGCCTGAATGCTGAGAGTTGGCTCAAACACACACAACAATTTTAAGAAATTCACTTTAAGCTTGTATGCTTTGGTTCTGATTCCAGGGTTAATTTTCTTTAGATTGCGAGTTGGCTGACTTGGAGAAGTATTTATAGGGGGTGGGAATGAAATTAAAGGAGTAGTAGCTTTGATTAACTGTCAGCAAAATCTGTCTTTTCAATGTAGTTTGGTGAGTCAAAACTTGCAGCCTTAATGAAAAATTCTGCACCAATTTTATATTTATATATATATATGTATATATATTTATAAAGGCATCTGCATTTCTCAATTTAATGTCTTGAGAATATGGCCAAATACCTACAGTTTGAAATATGTAATTTAAATGAATTTATCATGTTGTTTCCATACCATACACACGCCTAATAAATTTAATATAGATGTCTTCCATTTTGCTGCAGTTCTGCAGCAGCATAGCTTTGTCTTTATCAGCCAGAACTTCTGTTTTTGAAAACAGACGTAAAAGAAGGCTACGACCAAGAACCACTCATCCAGTCACTTAGGTGGCTATTTGTCCATTGAGTGCAGTGAGACCTATCTCATAGCTTTCACTTTGGAAAAACAATGTTAAAACTGGCATAGCAAGGTAAAAACAACACATTAAAATACAGATCAGTGATTTGTATTCTCCACTGGTGTTTTTGAACTGTTCCATAATATTGCCTTATGTTTTGATGGTATTTCTCATTTTGAGCATTAATATAAGCGTGCATAAAGTAAATCACAAATACGGCCAAACTGACTATTGTAGAAATTGAAATACTACAGGATAGATTGACATGTCCCCCCCCATTATTTACGGTTTTAATTAAACGACTTAACAAATTGTCATTTTAGACTAAATATTAAGGTTTCTGTAATAAATTGCATTCAAGCAGTTGGTAATTGCAACCAAATTTGAAATATAGTCAAACCATGAGTTGTTGGAAACCAGGGACTAGCCAGCTGGAGTTGGAATTCACTGGAATTCCAACAAGCTTTTGAGAGCAGTGAAGTCTTCTGCCAGCTCAAAGGACTCTCCCTCCTGTTTAAGTTTGTCCAACTACTTCACTTTAATGGCTGGGATGTTGAAAATCAATAATCTGGAAGTTCAAAAAGTTGGGATTTTTTTTTTTTTTTTCCCCAGCCTGTCAGTAGGGTCATGAGGTTAAAGATTGTGACTGTTGTGATGAATAGAAGACACTAGTTCATCGGTGTATTAAAAAAGCACTGAATATGCTTCAGTTGTGTGTGCTGCTTACAACCTTCTAGGGCAAGTTCTCTCAAAGTAAAGTTATTTGAGTTCAGGTTTCTAACTTGAGCTCAGTCTACAGTGAGTGTGCAGTAAGTGGAGGGTAGTACAGAGTACACTTTGTGACATGACAGAGGTATGCGAAGAGTTAGGTATTTGGGAAATACATGCTAAGCTATGTGAATTGCCCAAGTATGTTGAGGTGCTGTATTCAGCTTCAGCTGTGAAGCTGTGTGGCAGCTTAGTAAAAACTAATGGCATGATTGGTATAATGAAATGTGAATCCTTCAGAAGAAAAACACAATGGGAATAAAATAGTTTAGAGGGGATTCTTTCTTGCAGATTGGAAAAAAATGAATGAAATAACATTTATTTTTTTGTTTTTAAATAATTATCATTTTGTTTTGTGTTTGGGAAATCAAATATTTCTGGAGTCAACAGATAAAACGGAGAAAACTTCACTTACTCATTTACTATCAGTTTGTACTAGAATCATGAACTTCAAAAAACTGTTGTAATATTTCATTTCTTCTTCAAGCAGTAATGCTAACTATAAGATATTTAGGGTGTAGACTTCTTCCATTGGAGAGCAACAATTCTGTTACTTCTCAGAAAATGTATTATTTGCTTTAGTTAAATACAGTATTTTGAAACCCTTGTATTTCTTTTTCCCAGGCTGTTCGCTGCTATGAATCGCTAATTTTGAAAGCTGAAGGAAAGGTCGAGTCTGATTTCTTTTGTCAGTTAGGTCACTTCAACCTCTTATTGGAAGATTATCCAAAAGGTAAGTGCTTTTTATTTTTTTGTATTTCTGGTAAATATCTTTGGGGGATTGTCATTTGATGTAGGTGATAAAATAGAATCAAAAACATTCGGATAACTCACTACATTCTTGGCTTGTATTATATTTCAAAGCCCATAACAGAATAAGACTGATGATGTCTTTATGAAAGCACAGTTGTATTCTAACTTCTTGAGCTTTTTTAAAAACTGAATTTTAATTGGGAAAAACAAAACAAAACAAAAACAAAAACACCACCACCAAAAGCATAATATGCTGCTGATTCAGGTGAGAATATGAAGTTTATCTAGTTTTATATACCATGCTACTTGCTTTATTTTTCTGGGTCACTATATGACTACAAACTGTTGAATTCGTACCCATGAAGGATTCTTTTTTGGGGTGGGAAAGATGGGAACTGCAGAAGCTAACAGTGCTGTAAAGACAGGTGTGTAGAGTGAGCACCTGTCCTAAATTGGCCTTGCATTTGGCCTTCATGTTTGTCCACAATCTCAACGGGTAAGAGTAGGCTGAAAATGCTAATTTAAAAGCAAAAACCAGCACTTGATGTGTTTTCAAGGTCTGTTTTAAACACGGAGTGGGAGAATGGGTGTGTGGGTTGTCTGGAGGGAGATGTTATTATTTTAGGTCTGTTTCTTCAGGCTTTTAAATTATTAAAAGCTTTTTGCCATCATTTCAGCCCCTGAACATAACTTAATGTACATTTGTGCTTTGCTGTATATGGGTCAGTAGACTGCTTTTTTGGTAGAGGTGTTGATTCGAAAGGTACCCTGCTGTGTTGCTGCCTGAGGCGTGGGGCTACATCTTTAGCTTGTCCTGTTGCCCATTGATTGCGTGCTCATTGTCAGCCTGTGTCTGATAGCTGACTCCTTCCAGTGGTTGTGGAGTGTTTAGATGAGCCAAAAGTCTGTGTCTACTGTAAAACTGTGCGAGTTAGGGTTCCTGGAAGCCTATCTTGTCTTTTTTAGGTGACAGATGTTTCGATTTGTTACTGCTAGGGAGGAATTTCCAGTATGTAAATTTAGAAAGCTTTGTGTAATCATTACTGTCCACCTTTTTCTACTGAGTACATGGGGGAGCCCTTCATACCCACAGCTTGTACCTACTATGCCCTGTCTAGTGGGTGTAATGTAACATAACCATGGATGTTTCAGATTCCGCAGGCATGGCAAAACCTGAAGGGAGCGTTGTGGCATGCTGCCTATAGAGTTTCCTGAAGAGTGGTCTCATTTCATGCATTTTAAACTTTTAAAAAATTACATAAGAAAATTCTGCCACTCCCTCTGCAAATAACTTATACTGTTGTTTCTGATCAGCCTAATACAACTCTGCACGACGTGACTGCGGAATGGCTTATTGGATATACCAATTAGGCAGAACTATACACAAGCATGAGCATAAGAAACATTTAGACATAAAAACTTGTATTAACATATTGGTATTTTCTTAGATGCTGCTTTAAAGTCACATCTAAATCATGAAGTCTCAGAAAGTGAGAAAACTTTGTTAGTAGTGAAATACTTGGATTAAGGAAAAAAAGGTGGTATATTCAAACAAATGATGTAGTGGAGGAAGTGGAGGAAATGATGTATCAAAGGAATTTTGATAGATGGGAAATACAGCAGTGGCTCAGGGAAGGTGAAGGTTTTTTGATTTCATTGAGGGACATGTTCTTGTTCACAGGAGCTGTTGACATTCAGTACCAATGACTGTAAAAGTATTATTCACGATGCAAAAAAAAAAAAAAAGTATTCTCTATTTCAGCTTTTCAGTCTGAAAGAACTAGAGTGCTGGTTCATTGCATCTTAAATTTAAAGCGCGAATAACTTTGTTCCATCTGTAAGTTTAAATTCTGTTGCTCTTAATTATCAAACACGCTAACGGCAATTATGGTTAATTTTTTAAATACTTGAGATCTGAAAAGTAAAGGGAGTTCAGGAATGCACTCCCTGACTAATCAGATTTTTAAGTCTTGAAGTTCCAGAACTGTACAATGCTGCAGCAGGCCCTTCAGAACTACAATGTGTCTAGTCTGAAATTAGTCTTGGATAAAGCTGTGGAGAAGTTGATGAAGGATGTAATTAATAAAATATCACGAGTAGTATGACTAATGCTAAGCAACTTTTTTCCCCTTGGAAGCCTGTTAGTTATTTTATTAACTACTTTTAATAAATGTATACACTTGTGCATGTAATGTAGGAAGGTGTGTCTTTATTAAAGGCAAATGTCATAGTGTTCTTCATTTATAAATGTTCGCAGTACAGTGTGTGCTAAGTAGAACTAAATTGTTAATTGACTGCAAAAGTACAAAAAGTGGTCAACTTTAAGCAATGCCAGGTTGGTAGAGATCTGGTAAGAGCTTCATGTTTAAATTTTGTTCTGGTTTGGTCTCTCTCTGTTAACTTTGTTCACAAACATGGATCACTCAGGTGTATTCTGTGCACATTAGTATTTTCAGGTTGCCAGTAACTTCTCACGTGTGTAGTAGCAAAGACCTGTGGGTCACTTCTGGATAAGAATTAGGACTAGTTCTGGAAAAGAGGGACCCCGAGAAAGATTGATGGCAGGTTACTGCATGTCATTACTGGAAGTAACAAGGCAAGCACTATCCTGGCACTGTGCACACAGGGAGTATCAGTTAGGAGCAGGCTGACTTGGAATGCAGAATAAGGTGGTGGCAGATGCCTTACTGAAGCCTAAGTACAGCTAGCATATGTTTTTGCATTTTTAACTGAAACCTATTAAATGTTGTAGTAATCTCTCAATGTACATTATGTTTTCCATTGACTGTAGCCACCTAATTTCAGGTATAACATGCTTTTTCATTTAAAAACAAAACAAAAAAATAGTCTCCAACAAAAAGTTGTGATTTTGCATCAGAAGTTACTGGATGTTGTTCATTCTTTCTCTGTCTTATGTCTGATGTCAGACTAGAGCATCAAGATGTTTTTTTCATAGCATTTAAAACTCCTGAAGCTGGTCTACAGCTTGTACTTATCCTAAAACTCAGCGCATTTGAGTTGCTGTTGTTACCTAAGGGATTTTCTCTACATCCATGGAATTGAGTTGTCCTGTTAATGTCACTCAGATGTCGTTAGGAGAAGGTGATATAGTCAAGGCATCAACCTTGGGCTGATTTTGAAATACTGTGAGCTACTGACTCGTATGTTCAGACAGTGATAACCAGGGCAGATGGATTCAGTTCAGCGAGCATGTTTCAAGGTGCTTTCTGTGCCCACCATTTGTCTTCCTGGTCATCACGGGTCAGGATTTGGCTTCAAGTGTTACCAAAACGAGAACGTTCATTCCTCCCAATGACAACTTCCTGTTTTTGTAACTCTAATATGATGTCTTTTTTTTTTCTTTTTCTTTTTAAAACTAGACAACTGTTCACCAGTTGTTTGAAGGCTTCCAAACCCATTGTTCCCTGGGCATGTCTTCAGCAGCATCACCCACCCGCTTGCTGCCGCTCTCTGCGTTGTGCAGGCACAGCTGAATGTGCAGCTGTGTGGGGAACTGGTCCAACTGAAAAATTACCTAGCAGAAGTGATGCAATTGCCCCAGAATGTGAAACCTCAGCCTCGGGTTTTGTCAGAGGAGGTTCTGTAGGCTTTTGGACCCAGGCAACACTGCGAATCCAGTTAAGACTCTATAGCATATACCCGTCATTTTTGCTGGCAGCTGCATTCCTTGGGTGGGCTGGGCTTTATTTATGTATTTATTATTTGCTTATTATTTATTTATTTATAACTAGAATTAGTCTTACAGGAAGGTGGTGTTACATCAGTATTTGGAGATGTTTTTTTTTTTCTTTTCCTTTTTCCATGACTCTGGTTTTCATAAGGAATACAGACTGTAGGCAGTGATCTTGGAGGTTTTAGTTGTAGTTGAAATCTGAGCTCACAAGCTCTGACATCATCTGTGTTTTCCTTGGGGGTCTTTGCATCTATTTTGTAGAAGGTTCATATAAAGAACTTCTTTACTGAAAGGGTTGTTAGGCACTGGAACAGGCTGCCCAGGGAGGTGGTGGAGTCACCATCCCTGGAAGTCTTTAAAAGACGTTTAGATGTAGAGCTTAGGGATATGGTTTAGTGGGGACTGTTAGTGTTAGGTCAGAGGTTGGACTCGATGATCTTGAGGTCTCTTCCAACCTAGAAATTCTGTGATTCTGTGATATACATCAACTGTATTCCAGCCTGTGACTTGGAGCACGGTTATCAGTTGCATAAGTGCAGGCATACTTTTATTATTGGCCACCTTGAATTTCTGTTCTCTGAATAAAATTCTTGAAAGTAGAAGTAGATAATGCAATTAATGAGTTAAGTGGGAAAGAAATGCAATTATTCAAATTGCAGTTACTAAAGTGCAATAAATACTGCACTGAAATAATTCTTACTGCTGTACTCAAGCGTGATGTGTTATGTCAGTGTAATTTTAATAATTTTATTTGTGGATAGTGACTGTGTTGTCAGAAGCACTAGTGTAAAATATTCTAAGTAATTTGAGACAGTATTGCTTAGTTCAAGGGAATTTTTACCAATGTGTAGAATATTCCTCACTCATTTATTAAACACTTCGACTGTTCTTATGTAAAGCAGCGTGGTTGCAAGAATAAATCCCAATTTCAACAATGTGCATGTTTTCCTCTACGCTTACAATTCAAGCTTTGTAGTGTTTTTATTATTATTATTTTTTATTTGTATTTTTTCTATAGTAGTTAATGTTTTAAGCTATCAGAACTTTAAAGGAAAGTACTGTCAGTGGAAACCATTTCAGTGTGCTGAGTTCAGAGGTAATCGAGTAGTAGGCATGATCTTATAAACGTGAGAGAGAAGTTCCCAGCATAGATAGGATTGTGTAGATTGCTGCTGCCTTGCTGCTGGGCTGGCTTTTACCGATGAGTCCTGGAAGAACTGGAATGGAGTTTAAGTAGGCGAGCAGCTGAATGAGCTGAGGGAGAGGTGGCTGTGTTTCAAATTGAG